TTTCCTAGCACTGGATATTTCCAGCTTTTCCATAATAGTGGAAAGATTGCAAATAACAATGATATCAAATGTCAACAATAGATTGGTTTCCAGCCAAGTGTCATGCCTCTTGACAGTACAGCTGTGTGAGGTTTGAAAGACATTTGTTCATGCTGACCTTAGTTCGCCACAGCCTTTCCACTGGGTCAGTGTGTTCTTTGGTCTGGTATTTCTGCAGGGTTAGCTTTACTTTATGCCAGATCATCTTGATGCTAAGTTGGTTGTCGAAATACTTACACCTCTAGCGGTTTCTGCACATTGGTGTACATTTGCTAGAGCTTTGGTGGTTGCTTGGTTGAAGTCTGATAAATTAATTAGTCATTTCTTTTTAATGTATCCTTTATATTACAACTTTTATAAGCGTGTGCAGCCATTGGAATCTTTTTGGCTCAAGACTTTACCATTAATTTACCACTTCCAATTTCCATTACATTTCATGTTGCAAACTGATCTTTTCTCTTTATATCATTCTCCTTTTTATGTATAGTCATGAACACACTTGTTTGTAGAGCAAGTCGTTTGAGACTTTTCTGCCATTTATTATTCCTAATCGTTTCTCCCATAGGAAACTAAATTAGATGTACTAAAACAATCGCAAAAATGAAACTTCCACATTGAAAAATAATGTAAATAGTGCCACTGATATATTGTTATGATCACCAGCGATCTAGCGGCTCGGTTTATGGACTACAAGTTCCAGTTATGCACCGCCTACACACACGCCTGCTCCTAGTTTCCAGTTATTACACACACACAGAGACATAGCTGAAGCTCATCATTCATTATCCAGACTACTGTATAAAAATGTTTGTTTATGTTGTCTGCTGACTGCCTGTACTGACCATTCGCCTGTTATCTGACCACCACTCTGAATTCCCTGTATACATCTGTTTGCTCCTGATTGTGATCATTGCCTGCCTGACCATTCTCTTTATAATAAATCCTGCATTTCGATCTGCACGCCGATGTCAGCATCACCCCTGTGACATTTATAAAATCTCTTTTTTAGGGAGTCCTCTTTAAAATGGCAGGACTAAAAAATTCACAAATCAGAAACAAATGGTGCTAGTAGTCTAGTGGTCAGTGCGCTGACATATAGCACAACTGCGCTAGAGCTACTTTTCAGACCTCACAAACCTATCCCAATCGAATTCCCCCTTTCTCTCTGACTTCACTTCCTGTTAATATTGTTGTGTCATAATAAAGATAAAAAGGCCAAAAATAAATCCTAAACAAAACCAGATACAAAAATTTAAATTAGCTCTATTTTCATTTTACAATATATACTCCCCGGCCACTTTATTAGGTACACCTTACTAGTACTGGGTTGGACCACCTTTTGCTTTTAGAACTGCCTTAATCCTTCGTGGCATAGATTCAACAAGGTACTGGAAAATTTCTCAGAGATTTCGCTCTAAATTGACATGATAACATCAAGCAGTTGCTGCAGATTTGTCGGCTGCACATCCATGATGCAATCTCCTGTTCCACCACATCCTATTGGATTAAGTTCTGGTGACTGTGGAGGCCTTTTGAGTACAGTGAACTCATTGTCATGTTCAAGAAACCTGAGTGGTGCACCAGTCTGAGATGATTCACACTTTATGCTATGGAGCGTTATCCTGCTGGATACAGCCAAGAAAATATCCCCCACACCATTACATCACCACCACCAGTATGAACCACTGATACAAGGCAGGATAGATCCATGATTTTATGTTGATAATGTCAAATTCTGACCCTACCATTCGAATGTTGCAGCAGAAATCAAGACTCATCAGCCCAGGCAACGTTTTTCCAATCTTCCATTGTCCAGTTCTGGTGAGCCTGTGCGAATTGTAGCTTCACCTAATATTAATAGGTATATAGGTGTTAATATTAATAGGTTAATGGGTGTGCCTAATAAAGTGGCCGGTGAGTGTAAGAAAAATAAAATCAGACATAATAGAAACAGTTTTCATAGCAGTTAGAGAATGCTTTGCTTCAATTGAAAGCATTATTAATTAATAAAGGAAGGAATCATAAATCTGTAGCTTAAATGGTGCAGGATGAGCTGTGTGCCAAAGAAATGAGAGGTTTGATCAACATGTAAAACCTGCCTTGACTTCCTCAGTATTCACATACAATGACAGCATTTGTGCCACTACATTACCCTTTGTGTCACTTTTTTTCTCTGAGACAATGATGTCTTTTGACCATAATAAAGTACCATTTGTAATTTTGCTTAGCTGTTTTTATCTCATGCTATCATTTCCTTGCACATGAAAGCTTTGAATAAACCCCCATTCCGCTGCCACTTTATCACACGGAGTACATGTATAAACTGATAAGAGAAGAGTTATCTGACATAGCATGTGACATGTGAGTTGAACGTGCAGTCAATGTGACCTACAGTCAAAGCACATTCCTTCAGGGCCAGTAGTTCTTGCAGTTTTTATCAGATGATAACTTCTGGTTCTGTTTTAATTTTTCTAAACATGTTTTATGTTGCTCTATAAAGCTGATTTGCTTTCAATCTCTATTTTTGGTATTACAGTGGTGTAAAAAAGTGTTCGCCCCCCTACTTATTTCTTATTTTGAGGATCTTTTGGTCTACGTCACATTGTTTGGCAGGTCCTATTTAAGTGATTTCATGATAGCAAACAGGTGTGGTAGTAATCAAGCCAGGGTGTGGTACGAGAAATTAAACTCAGGTATAATAAATCAAGGTTAAGTTTTGTTTTAAAAGGGTGGCAAACACATTTTCACACAGGGCTATAAAGTTTGGAATTTTGTTTTCCCTTTACAATAAAAATCTTAATTTAAAAACGGCATGCTTTGTTTACTTGTGTTATCCTTGACTAACATTTAAATTAGTTTGATGATCTATAAAGTGTGGCAAACATGCAAGAAAAAGGAAACAGTAAACACCTTTTCACACCATGTATATACTATACGCATGTCTTTCACTACATTCAAAATCATTCCCGCCATGGCTACATTACAGCTTCTCATTCAAAATCGTCAGCTGTTGGTGTTTTTTTTAATAGTGGGTTATAATCGCACCAAAACATAATAAAATGTAAGTAAATTATTACAGTGCAAACTTTTCTGTAATCGTAGCAGTGCTGTGTGTTATTTGTTTAACCATTTAAGGCAGGGATGTCCAAACTTCGGTCCTGGAGGGCCAGTGTACTGCTGAGTTTAGCTTCAACTTGCTTCAGGACGCCAGACAGAAAGTTTCTAGTATTTCTAGTAAGATCTTGATTAACTGCTTCAGGTGTGTTTGATTAGGGTTGAGCTAAACTCTCTAGGACACCGACCCTCCAGGACCAAGGACACCTCTGATTTAAGGTTACATGCTGACTGACTGACAAGGCTGCATGATGCGGGAGGCCAGCAAACACGATGTAGCTTTCAGTTTTGATAAACACAATTTCCATAATCATACTTTATTTATAGATAAATGGCTATAGTTTTGCATACAATTACTTTATCTTGCTGGAGTTTATGTCTGTTTCACTTTGCTTTAGGGCACATCAATGTCGTTTTGTAGGTTTAATAGAGACATTCATAAATGTTCCTATTGAATCTAATCAATGTTGGAGACATACTTGTTACATAAACGCACTATTTGCCCTCTTCTGTGGTTTGAAATGTATTGGCCGGTACAAATGTCTTGATACCTCAGGCTGTTGGTGTTGTCATCCAATCTGCAGATCTTTCACACACCCCCATACTGAAAGTAACCCTAAACCATGATTTTTCCTTCACCAAACTTGACCGATTTCTATGAGAATCTTGGGTCCATGCAGGTTCCAATAGGTCTTCTGCAATATTTGTGATGATCGGGATGCAGTTTCTACCTAAAATCTACCTTCTACCACTTTTCCAAATGGTCAACTAGAAATCAAGCTATTATTTGTCGTTCTATTACAGTCAGGTAGTGTAAGTGAAACACCTCAATAACAATGAACATTTGAGTCTGACTTGCATGTATTTTTGTCTTTTTTAACTGCTTAAGTACTGCTTATTGCTAGCTTCATGAAGAAAAGGATGAACAAAACAAAACACTTATATCATGGTTTGGCATGCCAGTGTCTGGCAGAGTTTTTATGAACGATCTCCTTATCAGCTAATGTTCAATAAGTTTGACAGTAAACATTAATTTTGGATTGATCATTGTTTAGAAAATATCTTTACAGATAAGTTTGCGACAAACAGGATTGAGTTTATTAGTTTCTTCAGTCTCTGCAAACAATGACTGACTGTAGCTACTTCTAACAGAAATCCATTGTTGTCAAGGCTGTAACGTGATTGGTTATCAAATCCCATGTGATCCAATCTGCTCTTTACAGTTTCTAAACACAAATACAGAGCTTATGGTCAGCTGCAAAATAAAATTGTTTATATAACATACGTCACTGCTTATGTGTTACATTTAGAAGCTAGTGGGTCTTTTTTTCGCTGTGGAATGGAAAGTTGGTCTTAGCTAAGCTGCAAAGCTGGACAAAGCTGCAATTCATTAAGCAGAGAACAGAGGCCAAAGAAAGATGCTGAGTGAGCTACCCTGCAGCTTCACGCCTCTGCTGCTTACAAGAATGCCTTTCTGACAGATGCCCAAACGTGGAGAAAGTGCCCATCTCTGCATCCTTTAAGGGTTTAATACAGAGCTCAGTTATTTTTTGCTGGTTGCCACACTACATCACTCTCTCATCAGAGGCGAGGCCAATAAAGATGTTACAGTAGCACTGTAAATACATTAATCTACTTCAGTTACATGTGTTCTGAAGCCTGCTAGGGCAATGGTTACAAAAGCAAAAGGAAAAACAAAACTTTTTTTTTAGCTTAAACCTATCATGTGCGTTTTCCAATCTGACTACCATGACTCGACTGGAAATTATAAAACAGTTTTCAAAAGCACTTACAGTACATTTTCATTTCTCATGATATGATTAATACTCGTGAATTAGCCTACTCACCTGTATCCTAGATCCCGGCTCTGCTGTACCATATGCAGAATGTAGGATTCGCGGCTGGTGCCTGTGAGTCCTGGGAGCAGCAGCACAGTGGGTCGCGTGGACTGGTCCGGGTGGGACACACTGTCATCATTGTCAAACCAATCCAGAGAGATCTGGCCTCCATCTGGTGCTCTAATGAGCTCACTGCCGGACACAGAACAGAGAGAAGCAGCTTAATTTAGCCAGAGGAACATTCAGTGAAATTGTGCGTTAATACTAGCTTAAGTTCTCATAAATAGTACAAAGGGAGAAACTGTTTCAGGCAACTAACAACATGACCATAACATACCATAATAGCACAATAGTAGCAAAGCTGTCTGTATTACACCACAACGACCCCTTTACATCGCATTTAAAAACGTACACTAAGAATCAGTGGTGTAAAGTAACAAATTACAAATACTCAAATTACTGTAATTGAGTAGTTTTTCTCAGGAATTGTACTTTACTAAGTAGTTTTAGAAATGTGTACTTTTACTTTCCCTTGAGTACATTTTTAGTGCAATATTGGTACTTTTACTACTTTCCTTCAACCTACAGCCACTACTTTATTTTTTCTGGTCTATGTGGATTTGAAAAACCAGTCCTGTGATTCCTGTCCAAACTTATCGCACATAGGAGGTAAATCACATCATAACGAACTACCTCAAGACATGGCAATTTATAATTGCAGCAAACTGTTTGGAAGCAGTAAAAGTGTCCAAGAAGATGTCCAAAATCTTTACACGCCTTAAACACCCAAACCTTAATGGGTTTAAACACCCAGCAGACACAAGACGTCAACATGACGTTAGATTGACGTTGTACCCCAATGTCATGGGGACGTTGCATTTTGTTTAGAAATGAAAATCGGTTTGACGTCAGAACTCAATGTCAGGCCGACCTCAATGTCCAACGACCAACCTAAAACCAACCAAATTTCAATGTCTAATGATGTTACAGCTTGACGTTGTGTGAACATTATGTCTATCAGACATTGGATTTTGGTTACCATACCTGACGAATAAATGTCAGTATTTGACATCAATATGACGCTGGTTTAAGATGTTGGCTCGACGTTGGATTTTGGTCACTTTCCAACACAACCTAAAATTAACCAAATATAAACGTCATTTGACGTCGTTATTGGTGATCAAAATAGTGTTGTCCTTAGACGCTGGCTAGACTTTAGATGCGTTCGACATGAAGCACAGCTGCAGCCGCAATCAACATGATTAGCTGAGTGCAGTTGGGGGCCGAGTTGAAAACAGAGCTTCGGGGCTCAAAGCTGTGGGAGTCATGATGACCAATCACATGCTGTGATCATTCATTTATTTATTTATTGCAATAATAACAAAGGATTTCCAGTACAAACATAACAGAATACAGTCTCTACAAACTACAGTTAATTTTTAGACACTAAGGCAATTATGAATAGAATTTAAGTAGCCTATTTAACAAACGCATGAGAAATCAGGGAAAAATGAGAAGGCACATAAAAAGGAAATAAATATCCACAAATAGGCCTATTAAACACAAATAACAAGCACAAATTGTAGGAATTGAAACATCAGTCTTTCAGCTACTAAATGTTGAATGGTATGCCAATATTGTTCCAGTTCTTGTTTGAATATGCCAAAAAGGGTTTACATTTATGTATAAAAAACTTTCCAATATATAATAGTGTAAAACCCAAAACAAGGTGTTTGATTAAGTCTTAAACAATGATTAAGATTATTTTGGATAATAAAAGCATTTTAATCCAAAAAGATTGAATAAAAGGACCAAAATAAGTGAGCTACACTTTAAGTAGAAATTTCCTATAAAGAGCAAGGTACATCAATATCACTTTTAAAATTTCTGCATGATCACAAAAAAATATATAATCATATATATTTATATTTAATAAAAATATTTTTACTTAATTTGTTAAAAAATCTTTATAGGGGTGTCAGGATCAATGATGATAATCATTTTATTACAATTCTGTAAGACTTATTTGAGTTAATATTCAGGTTATTTACTAAAATATATCATTTAAATCATTTATGGAGCTGAATACAGTATTCTTTTAAAACTGAAAAATTTAAAAACCTATGCAAAGAATGTAGCCATTATAAAAAAATTATTTAACAAAAGATGACACTGCAGCAAAAAAATTGTAGTCTTTTAATAAGCCTAATGTGTACAAGATGGAGATGGCATAAAAAGTCATGCGGTAAACTTGGCCAATCGTGTAATATCGATGTCATCATGGCAGCTCCTGCAGTTACTCTACAGGTTGCTGCACCGTCTGATTCAAATCAATCGTCTGATTTCAGAGGGCTGTCGTGGTACTTTGATGCCACATGTGACAGTCACGTGGCGTTGGCACAGCATCAAGCCGGACAAAATTTCTTACTGTCATGCACAACTTTAAGACCTTTAAGGTCTGCGCAGCGCTGCATAAAGTTGAACGCACCTTTTGAATTTTTGTCACATGATGTCACGACCTAAATCTAACCTAATATTAACATCTAATGACGTTGTGTGACTGCTGAGCAATAAATAATTCAGTACAGAATGTTACGTTTACACACATTCACAAATTACATGTAAATGTATCAGCTTTTTATAGCGTAATACTAACTACTCACTACTCTTGAGTACTTTTGAAAGGTCTACGTTTTACTAATACTTTAAGTAATATTTATAACAGATATTTTAACTCAACTTGCACTACATTTTTAGGCAAGTAATAGTACTTTTGCATAAGTATGATTTTTAAGTACTCTTTCCACCACTGCTAAGAATACATTAGCATTGCTTTTATAATGCAAATAATTAAAAGAAGTCCTATAATCTAGTTTAAAAAAGAAAGAAGACATTTTGAAAAGGTGAAAAGTAAATGAAAACAGATTTTTTTTTTTTTTTTTTTTAGTGAACAATCCCTTTCCGCCAAGTTTCAATCCCTTAAGGTTTCCACCAAATCTATTTAGAGTGACTGAACTATTTCTCTAATGTTGTGTTCACACTTCTACAGTATTTCAGATTTCTTGGCTAGTCAGTCTGGACCAAAAACAAAAATGATACATATGGTCCTGCATGCTCTGATTTTGGTTTGTGTAGATCACTTGATTCAGGTATACAAGGATTCATTTAGACCGCACAAAAAGGTTAATATGGCATGTTCATACTTATATACATTAACTGATTAGAACAAGCACACCAATCACTTGTTTGAACCAATCACAAAATATGTATTAATAATATAATAAATTATGAAACAAATCTATAGTTTTAGCATTTTTTATATATATATTTGCACTTTTTTATGTTCAAGTCATTTTTACATTACTTTGTTAATTTTGTCTAATATCTATAAAATTTTATGAAATTGGATTTTTTTTAATCAAACAACACTAAATGAGAAATAATGCCCCAATATTTGCTTGAACATTTTAACATGAAGCTATTTTATTCTATCATTTATTTATTTATTTATTTATTTATTTATTTATTTATTTGTTTGTTTGTTTGTTTGTTTGTTTGTTTGTTTGTTTAAATTATGAATTTACACAACACTTCACATTTTGGATAAAGTCACAAAATTTTCAGGTCCAAAGCCAAAGTCAGCCTGCAGTCTGGCATAATCCACATCCCACCTGTGCTTTGGGCTGACATCACTTCCCCTGCTGGACAGCAGTTTGACTCCAACCTCTTCTAGCAATGTAAAATGTTTTTCAGTTGTACTTGTATGTTTTCAAATATACTGTATAATGGGTCTAAACAAAGTCTTTCATCTAAATTTGTTTGTATCTACTTATAAAGGTTTAGTTCACCCAAAAATATAAATTCATTAATCATTTACCCTCCCTCATGTGTTGCTAATTCCACCTCTTAGCCTCTTTCCCCTTACCCCCAGCCTTTGTTTTGCACATTCCCGTGAAGGGGTAGGGGTGTCCCAATTCTCTTCAGCTTGAGGGCGTAGGGCTAAGGGTATAACTCCTTAACTGATAACTCCTGTATAGCAGTCCCACAATATTCTGTCACTCAATGACACTCTAATACCCTGTCAGAAAAGTCTAGTGGCTGTCAATGAGCTTTTTACAGTGTCTGTTTAAATGTTAATGTTGTTTTTGGTGTGTTTACATAGATGAATAAGGCCACTGTGTTAAATGCACAGTACAGTTACGATCTTATTGCCACATTATATCATTATGGTAACATAATATATGTCTTCAGTGATTTCTTGAAGATAAATACCAAAAAAATAAAACAACTGGAATAACTACAGCAGTCACTATTGTCTAATCTTTTATATAGCAAGAGATTGCGATGACATATGATGACGTGTGCAGGTACTGTAGGGCTGTCCCAATTCTTAGGGGTACATTTTGAAGGCCTTCCCCTTCAAACTGGGTTTTAAAGGCCAAGGGGAAGGGGTAGGGTTACAAAAATAAAATTGGGATTGGGCCTAAATATGTTAATAGGTTATTTAAAAATCTGATTTTCCCAGAGATGGGTTGCAGCATCCGCTACGTATTAACGTGCTGGATAAGTTGGCATTTCATTCTGCTGTGGTGACCCTGGATTGATAAAGGGAGAAAACACGGCCCACTTCATGATATAAGGATCATGCCCAACATATGGGGTTACCTACTATTCATATATCCTTCGAAAAATGGTGTAAGTCACAAAAATGAGGACTTTCTTGTGTCTCCCATTCAGTTCTTTACTTCCTGTCCCATAGCTTGGCTGCTTTTTTTTATAACCAGCCCATAGCATTTCACATTTCGGGTTGAGCATATCAAAACCTAGAGAGGATTTGATTGGTCAGAAAATTGGATGAGAAAATTAAGTATAGGGTAATGTAAAAAAAAAAATGTTGATACATTTTGCAGGAAGTGACAGAGCTAAATGTTTATTTATTTTAAATGCAAATTCTGTCACTGTTTTGGAGCACATAAGATTATAGATTACTTTAAGACTAACATAATGACACTAACATCTAAAATAATTTTATTTTTATTCAGGAGCAGCTGATCACAGAGGGTTGGAACAGATCTTTTAATCCCAATTCCTTTGCAAGCCCTGTTCTGTGGACATGCTTACATGCATTACTATGGAGACATAATGATACTAACATCTAAAATACTTTCATTTTGATTCAGAAGCAGCTGATC